GCTAGAAATATCACAGTCCCTGACTTCAAAGTACACTACAAGGCTATAGTAATCAAAGCAGTGTGGTACTGGCAGAAAAACAGACACACAGATCAACAGAACAGAATTGAAACCCCAGAAATAAAACCACACACAGCTAATCTTCAACAAAGGAGCCAAGAACATACAGTGCAGAAATAATATACTTTTTAAAGCATTATTTTTCCTGATCCGTGATCCAGTCCAGGATCCTGCTTTGCATTTAGTTGTGCTTTTGGATCTCCTTTAACCTAGAAGAGTTCATTCGTCATTCTTTGTGTTTTACAACAGTTTGAAGAGTTCAGGATTGCAGAATGTCCTTCAATGTGGAATTGTCTCAATTTTTCCTATATTTAAATTTAGGTTATGCATTTCGGGCAGGAAAACCACAGAAGTGATGCTGTGTCCTCTGCATCGTATTAGGATGCACATAATGTATATTTGTCCTCTTATTGGTGCTGTTAGCTTTGATTAGTTGGTTAAGATCGTGTCCAGTATGTTTCTCCGCTGCTGTCATTTTTCCCTTTGTACTTAATAAGGAATGTGTAGGGAGATACTTTGATACCATACATATTATATTCGCCAATTTTTCACAATGTTTTTGGTATTCACTGAGGATTGTTGCCTGAATCACTAAGTTGGTGATTTTTTCTAACTCTTTTGTTCCCAGCACATTTATTACTTGGCATTTACCATAAGGAAGAGATTTCTTTTCTCCAGGAGTTAAGAATATGTATTATCACTATGGATTGATGGTTTCTTTTTTTTAATTCAAAGTGTTATATAATCCATCTCTCTATCTAGATTTAAACAGTGGGAACCCTGTCAAGCTGACTTCTGTGCATTTTTCCATTTCCTTGAATACTTCTAGTACAAGATTTTTCAGACTTATCTGTACAGACACACCTCAGATATAGTGCAAGTTCAGTTCCAGACTACCACCATAAAGCAAATATCACAATAAAGCAAGTCACACAAATTTTTGGTTTTCCAGTGCATATAAAAGTTATGTTTACACTATACTGTAGTATATTGTGTGCGATAGCATTATATCTAAAGAAACAATGTACATACCTTAATTTAAAAAATACTTTATTGCTAAAACATACTAACCATCATCTGGCCTTCAGCGAGTCATAATCTTTTTGCTGGTGGAGGGTCTTGCCTCAGTGTGATGGCTGCTGACTGATCAGGGTGGTGGTTGCTGAAGACTGGGGTGGCTCCAGCAATTTCTTAAAATAAGACAACAATGAACTTTGCTGCATAGATTGACCCTTCCTTTCATGAACGATTTCTCTGCAGCATGCAATGTTTGATAGCATTTTACCCACAGTAGAATTTCTTTCAAAATTGAAGTCAATCCTCTCAAACTGCTGTTGTATTATCAACTAAGTTTATGTAATATTCTAAATCCTTTGTTGTCATTTTTTTTGGAGCTGCATCCGTTTTGTGGATGTACCATACTTTATTCAACCATCTTTCTATTTGTATTAGATTTGCAGTATTTTGCAATTAAAAATAATACACAATGCATTATGCATATGTATTTTCATATTGTTTGAGTTGTATCTTCAAGGAAAATTTTAGGAGTGGAATTTCTTGGTCTAAAAATAAATGCAATGTAATTTTGTTAGATATGAGCACGCCCCCAAGATCTGGACACACAGTGTCATCAGATAATCCTTGTTTGGATAATAGTGAGTAAACCACAGCACTCTAAAACCTCTAGGCTAAGAGGTTAGGTCACCCAGTGCGTTTGTAAGTTAAATAATTCAACAGACGTTAACCGTGTCCTTACTGTGTACAAAGAAATATCTTAGGTACTGGGCATAAAACTAAATATTCTAGGAATCTTAAGGAGACATCTGCATTGAGACCACTTTAGCATGTGCCACATGGTCTCCTGCTCTTCTTCTTTGGGCAGAGTGACTTGATAAAGTAGAGCAATTCTTCCCTAAGCACACGTTCCCATTGACACAAAATTCTAGTTTACGCAGAATTATTTCCATAGCGTGAGAAACAGTACCTGATAACCTGTTGGTAATATTAAAAAAAAGAAGGAACTTAAGTTTGGGAAAGGAAAGAAAAAATCAGAAGGCAAACTTAGAATGTAGGTACAGCCTCATTTTCTAATGTAGTGTGGGAAGAAAGAAAACCAGAGCACAGAACTTCCCCCTGTTGGTATAAGTTGGCAGAGTGATGAGAAGGTGAACTTGGGAATCAGGAAATCATAAACTTCAGGTTATAAAAGTTGAAAGGCATCAAACATTTGGAGGTGCAGACAGAAGGGGTAAACAATACATGTCAACAACTCAAAATTCTTTAAACATCTTGTTGAAAGTTTGGAATGGGAAAATCCTAAAGATTTGGAAACCAACTGTACACTACCCATTATTGGGAATTTACATTTACCAGTGGCAAAATGCTATTGATAGTATATTTATTTCATGTATAATTATTTCATATATTATGGTGGTCCCCACTTATCTGTGGGGAATACATCCCAAGACCCTAGGTGGATGCCTGAAACCATGAAGAGTACCAAACACTATATATACTCTGTTTTTTCCTGTACATACATACCTATGATAAACTTTAAATTGTAACTTAGGCCCAGTAAGAAATTAACACCAATAACTAATATGAAAATTGAACAATTATAGCAATATACTGTAATAGAACTTAGCAACCTCAGTATACAGTTTTTTGTCTTTATGAAGTCAAGAACTGTAATCTTTTCACTTAAAGGAAGCATGTTACGGCTTCTCTTTGGCACTATCTAAATTGCCAGTATCACTGCTCTTGCACTATGGGGCCATTATTAAGTAAAATAAGGGTTACTTGAACACAAGCACTAGGATACCATGACTTTTGATATGATAACCAAGACGGCTACGAAGTGACTAATGGGCACGTAGCATATAGAGTGTGCTTATGCCGGACAAAGGGAAGATTCACATCCCGGGCGGGACAGAGCAGGATAGCGCAAGATTTCATCACACTACTCAGAATGGTGTGCAATTAAAAACTTATGAATTGTTTATTTCTGGAATTTTCCATTTAATATTTTTGGACCACAGTTGACCACAGGTAACTGAAACCACAGAAAGCAAAAGCACCTGTGGCTAAGGGGAGACTCCTGTATTTGGGTGACTATAAAAATATCTGTGAGGACTTTCATTATCTTGTTTGCCACCTGAGGTCTACTTATGTTTTTTGTTTAAAAGCCCTGTTGGTCAACTATGGATTTTCCTATCGTGGAGTTCTTACAATAAAAATCTGTCACATAGCAGTCATTTTCTTCCAGGGAAACTAGCTTTCTGATTTTACAGCCACTCCTAATTCAGAAGAGTATCTGTTAATGTAATCTCTCTGAGAAGGCTATTGAACTCCATCCTCAAATTCACACAAATTGAACTTTGAATAATCTGCATCAGTGCCTGCATAAACTGTCACTGTCCAGAGTTGAATATGAGAGAACTCTTTTGAAGCTGTGGTCTAAATATTTTACTGACACTGGAAGTAACCCAAATTTCATTCTGTAATTTTGTTGAATTTCAAACACAAGAAAGTGGTATTGTGGATATAACCTAAAAATAATAGTAGAAAAACGGGAACAGAAAACATAAGAAAATATCTTTTATTCTTGTGCTACGTCTTTAAATTTTGACATAGGTCTCACTGTCCTGATAGAAGTATACATCTTATATGAAATTCTACTTAAAAATATCGGTCACTAACTTGTAATTTAATAAGTCTATTATGGAAACAAAAATGTACAAACTTTCTTCTTTAAGAAGATATGGGAACTTTCAGTTTGAAAGAGAATCATACATGAAAACAGAAAATTCCTATACTAATCCATATTTTATATTCAACCTAATACCTAATTATGGGTGTCTATTATTTAGAGGTATCATAATTTGACATTAATTTCTGTATTTAACACCAAAGGGCTATAATCTCATTTAGTACCTTTCATTGAATTCAGCAAGAATTATAATCTCACGTTCTATTCAGTTTGTTTTTAGAATTATATAGGGCACATTAAGAGAAAAAATGACAGATTAGCATCAAAGAAATTTTTCTTCATTGTATTAAACTGTATACTTTTTTCAAATTAGCAGGACTAATATTGCTGTTTTATTATTGCTGACTTTCAGATATTTTATAAAGTTTGTTAGAGCATGAAGAAAATAAAAGTCTCACATGTGATTCAAATTTACCAATGATTCTGTCAGATTCTTCTACACCAAACATAGAATTTCTGTATTTCAACATAGAATTTTCTGTATTTCTACTTCATTGTATAGTGACATACATGTAAAGAGCATGACTCATTAAGGTTTTGAGAAAAAAACAGACTTCTCCAAGAAGTCCTACAAAGGCAGGTAAATCTGAATCTCTCACCCCTCTTCTACTTTCATAGTGAGGTGAACATAACCGCCTCCTGTGTTGCCTCTGACACCACCGGTGATGTCTGTTTTGATGTGATTTGCACAGATCACACAGAAGAACAGCTAACTCCTGTTGGAAACCTATTAAATTCCAAGCCCACAGAGAAATTTCAGCAATTTCAACATCTTACTTGAAAACAACTTTTCATTTATGTGCCTATTTTCTAAGTGATGCTGTGATAAAAATAAATGCACAAAGTCAAGCTTCTTAGAAAATTTTAAGTTTAGTTTTGCCAAACTTAATGGAATTCTTTTTTCTTCTAAAAAATGACACATCATTATATGTTCTGTTCTGCTGATATTTACCTAAAGTCAGCATTCTTCTTAGATGTAATAGTTGTTTAATTAAAGATCTGTAGTAATTCCTGCAATGAATAGCCAATTTTTTTTGCCTAAAAGAGTAAGTGGAATCTCAAATATTTATACTATTATTGTATACTAATAGCACTCTCTGTGCTTTCTGAAATGTTTTGTGTGTGCTTTCTCAAAATCTTCAAACTTCCTCAGAAATAGAATGTCAAAAAGTCATTTATGTAAAAATTTATTAACTTATTACAGAGAAGTTTGCATTTTAATTTTTACTACATTAGCATTTTGCATTAAGACAATAGTGGGTCAGGTCTGGCTTTTGTTGTTGAAGGCTCACTTGAGTAGAGTAATCACAACATGGTCATCTCGGCCTTGCCAGAGCATCTCTCCTTCGAAGTCCACCAGTCCGTGTTTCCTGGCACGCATGAGAATGCCTACTACTTTATCTGAAATACGAACATATCTGTCAAAGAGATCTCCAAAAGTAACCTGGATCTTGCCGTCTCGTCTGTGGGGAGCCATGGTGCGGATAATGAAGCACATGTCCATAATTTCTCGATAGATGTGCTCCTCGGCCCGCTTGGCCCTTTCAGCGGTTTTGGTTCCCTCCTTGGGACGGCCATAGCCTTCATCTCCTTTGTGTAGGCGGGTGGACATGGCCAGCTGATAATCAAATTCTTCACTGAAAGGATTGAGCTTCTGGGACTGGATGTGTTCATCAGCCCACTGTTGCCATCTCCCTTTCAGGTTGTTCACTGGGCTGTATTTCCACTGAGCCTTGCAGCTGAGTTTCTCTATAAATCTGTTTGCCCTAAAGGAGAGAGAGGGTGAAGAATAAAGATAGTGATGTTTTAAAACCCAAGTGTTGCTTTCTCTCTGTACTTCCTGCACATTTGCATCTTAATGTGTTGATAACTTTTTCATTATAAGAGAAATATAAACACAATACAAAAAATTAGAAAGGAAGGGCTGGCCCGGTGGCGCAGCAGTTAAGATCACATGTTCTGCCTCGCCGGCCCAGGATTCACTGGTTTGGATCCCGTGTGCAGACCTATGCACCACTTGGCAAGCCATGCTGTGGCAGGTGTCCCACATATAAAATAGAGGACGATGGGCATGGATGTTAGCTCAGGGACAGTCTTCCTCAGCAAAAAGAGGAGGATTGGCAGCAGATGTTAGCTCAGGGCCAGTCTTCCTCAAAAATAAATAAATAAATAAATAAATAAATAAATGAAGTTTTTTTAATTAAAAAAAAGAATTAGAAATGAAAGAAGAAAAATCCTACACAGTCCCACCATTGTTCTTAGTTTGGCGTGTGTTCTCCTACGTTATTTTCTCTGTGAATAACAGTAATGTTTTAAGAACCATAAAATAATATTAAACTCTGTTTCAAGAAAAAAGCTTCATTACATGAACATAATGCAAATATGTGTATCTTAAAGTTGCATGTTAATAACATTTCAGAACTGGAATCATATGATTATATTAAGAGAATCTACTTTATATAGGACTTCAGTTATTTCCCCCAAATAAGGCTTATTCCAGCACATTGTAATATTTACTCGTGTATAGATTTTTATATGTGGGTTTTTGGATTTTTTTGAGGAAGATTAGCCCTGAGCTAACATCTGTCACCAATCCTCCTCTTTTTCCTGAGGAAGACTGGCCCTGAGCTAACATCCGTGCCCATCTTCCTCTACTTTATATGTGGGACGCCTACCACAGCATGGCGTGCCAAGTGGTGCCGTGTCCACACCCAGGATCCGAACTGGTGAACCCTGGGCTGCAGCAGAATGTGTGCACTTAACCCCTACGCCACCAGGCCAGCCCCTGTATGTGGATTTTTAATGAGAGCATATCTACACTAGTATCAATGCTGTACCACAAAAGAAATACCAACTTGTATAGGTAGAAGACTAGTAACATTTAGAAACATTTGATAACTAATAACATTGCTAACTAGTAAGCTAGCAATGGTAACATTTATTGAACACTATGTGCTGGCATTCCTTTATGTACTTTTTGTTAATATTCCCACAACCATTCTGTGAGAGAGGTACTACTATTCTCACTTCACAAGTGAAACTGAAGCCAGAGGGGTTAAGTAACTTGCTTAAAGTCACAAAACTGTTCAGTGGTAGAGCTGGGATTTGAACCAAAGTTGAGCTAGTTCCAGAGCCTGTGTAAAACCACCATGAAATGCTGCCCTAATCTAGTGGCAGAGGCAGGATTCAAGCACAGACTATCTGAGGCTAACATCAATGCTCTTTCCATTGTGCAATGCTGCTGCTCAGCGTGCAGGTACAGTGTCTCCTAAATGGATAAGCTATGTTTCAAATGTATGTGTTTGTTCTTGCAGTTTGAAATGAATTTTCTTGTTAAAAAAAAAAAAAAAAACTGGGACCAGCCCAGTGGTGTAGTGGTTAAGATTACATGCTCCACTTCGGCCACCTTGGGTTCTCCACAGCACTCATCAAGCCATGCTGTGGCAGCGTCCCACATACAAAATAGAGGAAGATTGGCACAAATGTTAGCAACAATCTTCCTTAAGCAAGAAGAGGAAGATTGGCAACAAATGTTAGCTCAGGGCCAATCTTCCTTACCAAAAAAAAAACCAAAACAACAACAACATTGGAAAGTGTAGACCAATTATGTCATGAAGATGCAGGCCTAACTTTTAAAAGGGCAAAATTTGTCTTTAAAAGACTTCCCTGTCATTTTATATCTAACATCACTAGGTCTCTTTGCCTTCACATGTAAAACATGAACTCTTGGACTATATAAAAGTCAGAGATTTATACTGCTTGTCCTCACAAGTGGCCCACTCTTCCGTCTCCCCAACACCAGTGGCCTCATGTCTGGAAACATTGGGATTAGAGCTGGAGAGCAGCTAACATTGCTCATGTGAGCAGCATGCCTGAACTAAGAAGCTCTTCCTATACCAAATCTCACAATTCATTATTCGAAACCTAGGAACAGGTCAGATGTGGGTGTTCTTCACTATCCAACTCTCTTCCTGAAATCTGGTTATCCAAATGCAGGAAACTAAGAGATGTGGATAGGGAGGCATACATACTTTTATTAGCATTGTTTTCGGAATAGTGACATCCACTAGATGGCGAACTTTCATTAATTCCCATGCTTTATGTTTCCAAAAGTCCTACACTTGCTACGTTGTTTCACTGTTACAACAGAATTCAAGAACGTGCTGCTACATATTACACTACTATTCTTCCGAGCCATATGGACAAAAGTGTATGACAAAGTCAATTGGGAGAAAGCAGCGTACAAAAACTGTATTCACAATTATTATAACTTTAAGAAATCGTATACGTATGGAAAAGTGCTGGGAATTACACTGCACTGAAGTGGAATGGATTTCTCTCAGCTCTGCTGGTCCTCGTCGTGACCTGCCTCTCCACAGACTGTCCCTGTTCAGCTGCCCAGAGTATGGACTGCTTGATCTCATTATCAAAGGAGAGCAAACACCTTGTCCCCTTGGAACCATGGCAATCAATGGCAGGCATAGTCTTCCATAACAAGTCCAAGGCTATCCCGGAAGGACCCAAAGCTCATACATTTGAGGCTGGGGCGTCCTGCTGGAGAAGAGACTTGAAATATCTCAGAAGAAGGTGAAAAGAATAGCATGATTCATTAACTCATACTTTTTATCTCCTGAGCACCAACTGTACTTCTGTCCTCTAGTGTTAAACATAAAACAGTCTCCCTTCAAGGAGCTTCTGGGCACTTTGACATTCCTTCCATCCTTTATTAAATCATCTATGACACCTACTGTGTGCCAGACACTCTTTTAGGCACTTACTGGATATTCACTAATGAAAACCAATAAATATCCACTAAAAGACACTCATGAAAATAGAGCAATACAAATTTGAGCTATGGTACAACTCCAACTACAAAAAATGTGTATGCACCGTGCAGAAGAAATCAATAGCATGTGTACAAATGAAAATAATTATGTTGGGGGACGGCTCTGTGGCCAATTGGTTACGTTCATGCGCTCTGCTTCGGCAGCCCAGGGTTTCACTGGTTCAGATCCTGGGCACGGACATGGCACCACTCATCAGGCCATGCTGAGGCAGCATCCCACATGCCACAACTGGAAGGACCCACAACTAAAATACTATATACTGGGGGATTTGGGGAGAAAAAGCAAAAAAAAAGAAAGAAAGAAAATAATGTTGGTACCAGATGACAGATGATTTTTGTCATTTTTTACAGAATACTCTCATGTTGGCATTTTATTGATTTTATAATTCAGAAAAAGCAAAAGATAGGAAAATATTCAAATTAGCATCCAGAAGTAATTTGTTTACACTACATGTTATATGGGTCTCTGTTTCTTTGATATAGTTGTATTTCTAATTTTAATGAGGAACTTAGAGTCCCTGAGTGTTGAAACTCTATGTCATTTGGGATAATGGTTGGGGTTGGTGAGGTAATAAATCTATGAAGAAGAGGGACATTTATCTTCTAAAAGAAGCACTTTCTAAATCTTAATGTCCATTTGTTATATTGTCAAATTATAAATCCCAAAACTAGGAGAGAAGGAAAGGAAAGGAATTGGTTCTACAAGCAAGAATTAGAAAATAGACAAGGTTTTAAAAAAAGTACTAGGAGGAAGTATACCTTAATGACTATTTAATTTTCTCTATCTTATAAATGTTCTGTATTGTTTTTGTATTTTCAACTTTTAAAAAGTCTGAAAGCATCAGGTTTAAATCAGAATTAGAAAGTCTTGTACCCTGAGTATCTTCTCAGGCAATAAATATAAGAATCAACATACTAGCTTATCCTGGTATTTTTTTTAAGTAAAAATGTGAATAATAGTTTAGATTGAGCTTTATTTAGAAAGACAGTCTTGTATACATTTATAGCAAGCAAAGTAATATTCAAAGACTGACATCACACTAATTTTTTAGGTTAGTAATGTTTAATCCAGACTTGCCTTCTTAGTGTCTTCTTTATTAGTAAACAAATTTTCTATAGTCAATCAAATATTTCCCTTGTCCTGTTATGTGCAAGGTAAATAACTCTACTAGACGTTATAAGCATTCTATCTTGGAAAGTCTAGGTTCATTCACTGAAATAAATTCTGAAATTTATTTCTTATCTGTCAGCTTTAAAAATGATGTCAGTTTGAGTGTTTCTTTCTTACTTGAACAGGGCTGTTTAGCAATGTGATGAGAATATGTGAACCAATGTATCATAATTGTATCATTTAGGGGTAATAATTAGATGGTTAAATTATTAAATATGATTAAAACCCACAGGAAATAAAAGTTCTGAAAAGTAGATTTCAAACCTAACTGAGTTCGTTGGCACTGGAAACATTTTCTCTGATAAATGGCCTTCATTTGGAACATCGGTTTCAAAATGTCCTAAGGCCTAGGGGGGAACTGAGTCTTGGATGTGTGTGAAGAAAGTGGAGCTCTGCTCTCGTTGCATCACCCCACAGACTCTCCTGGAGAGGGAGCGTTTCTCTTCATTGCCCGGTAACATTTCTGTTAGTAAAGCAAAGAATTTCCGCCACCCTTTCCAACTTCTCAGGGAAGTGCTAGGGACACTTTGCTTCTCTGTGCATTGGTCAGCTTGCCCTTTACCACGGGAAGTGTAGCCAATTTGATTAATGGGAGCATGACATCCACAGGGTCATATTTATCAGAAGCAGGGTGATGGCATTCAAAAGGCAGGGTCAACGTCTCTGATCAACTATTTTGCTCTCTGTTCTGTCATCAACCAAGTTTGAGAGGCAGGCCTGTGATTCTCTTGGCAGGCTGCTAACTGTCCTCAGAGTCCATGGGAAGTGTTCCAAGCTCTAGAATTGGTAGCACATAGTAGAAAGCCATACTTTTGCCTCTGTTTCTAGCAAAGTCCTCAGTATAGTTGTACCGAAACCCTAGACTTTAGGAATTATTAGGATTCCATTAACTAAGCTGACACTTTGATCTCCATTTTATTCCTTGAGCCTCTTGTCTACTGAGAGAATCTCTCAGGCATAGTGGTTAATGACACAGGCTCTCGTATCAGCCTTCCTAACGTCATCACTTACCAGCTCTCTGATTTGGATATGTTTCTTAATGTCTCTGTATGTCAGTCCCCTTATTTATAATATGGCACCCTCATGCTCAAATACTGTTATTGTTACTGACTAGAACTTGGAGGAGAGGATGAATGAGCGATTGGCACATTAATATTTCACCATTCCTGCATGGGGCAGGGATCCAGTTTCCTTTGTCTAAAGGAGCTGGACTGAAAAGCCATATAGCTACACAATCAAAAGACTAAATATTTTAAAAATAAAGTATAAAATACAAATCATTCTCATAGAGAAACCCCAGTTAGCAAAACCACTCTTGGTAAAGAATATCTCTACTTTTTCTCAAACCTGACTCATTTGTTTCTGTTACCCACAGAACAGCTTAACTATGAAGAAAACTGTTTTTTTCTACCTAAATATTCATGACACATAATTTTCTCCATATTGGTGGACATGGGGAAAGAATGGTGTTTAGAATTAAAAATAAGTGACAACCCTTTTTCTATAGGCATACTCCATAATGACACCTTCATTTCTCAAGCAGCATTTGAGGGTCCCGTCAGGCAAAATGTCTCATTAGGCTTCTGCTGAAGCTTCCAGAGCACAGCTAGGATTACCGCTGACACTGAGCTGCCATTGCTGCATAAAATGTTCTGGTACCCTATATATTCTAAGACTGAGGGAAAGGAGCCAAGGAGGAAAGAAGAGATGTAATTCCCACTTTCCCCTGGCCAACTCTGAGAGCCAAGCTCCTAGCATCTTGAAGGGTTGGGATCACCAGGTCACCAGGGCTGGGCCCCTGCATGATAATAGGTTCAACCTATTAAGTACTTCTTCTGGGTCCATTGCTTTACATAATTAATATCAAAATAACTCTATGAATTATCATATTTGTGTTTTAGATGAGGACAAGGAGACTTAGAATTTGCCAAAGTAACCATGATTCAAATCTAATTGTCTTTCATTCAAAGCTACGTATCTCTCCATCACACTAAGAAGATGTCCAGGTATACACCTGGTTTCAACAATAGTGAGAAGGGTCCTGTATGCGAGTCCCCACTTCCAGATGAGACAGTTTAGAGTAGTGGTCTAGAAACAGAATGCCTGGGTTCAAATCCCATGGGCTGTACAATCTTATACAAATTCCCTCATATTTCTTTGTCTCATGCTCCCATCTATCAAATGTGGGTAATGATTATACTCACCCCATCAGAAGATTGTGAGGATTAAACGAATAAACATGAAAAGTGCTTAGACAAGTGCTGAAGAAGAGTTCATGCATTGGAGATTGGTCCCAGTTGTCATCTCCCTGACAGGAGATGTGCTCAAAATGTGCTGACAGGAAGACGCTCATTGTGCCATCCTCAGTCTTTATTCTGCTGGGTTCTGTTTTTCCATTTCTAGCACACACGCACATGCACACCCCAAAATCTACAAGGCCAGAATTTGCACTATGGTTCCCAATGTTCTGATAGAATAGTTATTTGTGACTATGAATTCACATATTAATGTAAGTAGGGCACAAATCCAGATCTCCGAACACATCCTTAAGGCATGACATGAGAGTGAGCACAATGTCTAGTTTCAAAACATTGCATGTGGAGACATCTCAGCTCTGTCACTACCTCGCTCGGTAAACTTCCCCTTTGAGCTTCAGTCCTCTCATCCTTAAAATGGGATCATTCTTATTTCATAGGATCATGAGAGTTAAAAGGATGAAGCATGTAAAATACCCACAGCGCACACTAAATGCATGAGGGAATGAGTGATTGTTATAATTACCTAAGTTTGCCTGTTCATTTTTTTGGAAGCTGGCAATAATATAGCAGTTCTAATTCTTTCAAAACACCTTTAAAGCCACAAACTGTAAGACAGCTCTCTGTCAAATTATGTAATCAATTTTGTTCTTTACTTTCCGATTGTTTCATTAAACTTCAAAAGCATGCCTAAACACCTTACTGTTCCCAGAGCGGGTCATAAGCATTCGCCACATCAGAGAATATTCCCATATTTTGATACCCTGCGGTGTTGGGTGAGCCCTCCTGACTTTCTGTTCCATAGAGGTAGCATTACTGTCTTTAAATAAAGCATGTGTTTCTTGTCTGAATAAATGTATTACCTTGAGTTTCTGTGTGTATTTGTGTGTGTGTCTGTATTTAACATCTAAATGTTTTAGGATTGTGGTACTTCAACTACCTAGCTTTAATTATCATTTTTGTCTCTGTTTACAAACATGGCAAACTTCTGAAAGTTTGAAAGATTGCTATAATAATAAAAGCTATATGAATAGTAACGGCTTTAATATATTGAGCATATTTGGCAGGCACTATTCTAAGTGCTTGGCAGCCTTAATCTCACTTACTTCTCCCAATACAACAGAATCTGTCCCAAAAGGTTAATGTGGCCATCATTTTATAAAGGAGGAAATAGGCTTAGAGAAATAACCAGTTTTGTGTGTGTGTGTGGGGGGGGGGGAGTGTGGTGAGAACATTTAAGATCTACCCTCTTAGCAACTTTCAAGTAGATATATAATTCAATATTGTTGACTACAGTTGAGGCAGAACTGGAATTTGAGTTTGAGTTTGTCTGACTTCAGAGTCTGCTCTCAAGTTAGCAGCCTCCCATCTGTTTATAGGGTCACGGAGGTCTGAGTTCCATGGGTGCTATTTGGGTACATGTGTCTCCCGGTAATATCATAGACTGATTTGGAACCAGGAAAAGGTTTCCCCAGTCAGTCTATCTGCAAGCACTTTTCTCTGCAGAGAAATGAGCCAACTTGTTACTCATTATAGAATGGATTGGAAAAAAATTACCCAAAGCAGACAGCCCTCTCTGGTGTCTTCATCTTTGTTGAGGCTAAAACTTGAACGTTCAGTTCAAAACACAAAGGAGAAACAAAATAGTGCTGGCTCTTGACCCCAAGGTCCATGTCTGAGCTTGGCACTTCCCTTTGAGCCCTGGATCATACCTTCCCCACAGGACCTCACCGCCTGCCCATCTGAGATTATCACTGTAACCCTGGTAGTACTTCCCCGCTCTCTGGGTTCCCAGAGCTGGTTGGGCTCAATAGCAGTATAAGGAGCTGAAGCCTGCATTCACTTACTGGGAGGGCAAGGGGCGTTTGATTCTGACAGTGGCCACCTGTTCTCCATCCTGCTCCGGCCTCTCGTCAGTCTCCCCTCCATAGCCGCTGTCCTCTGTGTCTATGCTGTCACTCCTCCACTTGGGCTCATCCTGTTCCATCTCTTTCCAGCCTTTGGTCAGCTCAGATACCAGGTTGGCACATTTCCTCCTCCGCGTCGGGGAGCCATGGCTGTGGAGGATTCTGTCAATGTCATTCTCTGGCTGCCCAGGTTCAGGCATGCCACCATCATTCTCGTATCTGTGGCTGAGGTGGCTCATATCCCCTCCTCGCTCATAAGCTTTGCTGACAACTGTTTTGGTCACCTCTTTCCTTTTGATAGGAGAGACTTCAGTGGCTCCCTCTGAGCTGTGTCCATCTCCCTGTTCCTCTTTCTTTGAGGAGAGAGATTTTGGGGCACTCTGAGCTTGCTGGTGGGGAGTGGCGTGTATCACTGGTCTAGGAGGTTGGGGTTCATCCTGGGTCTTTCCCGGCAGCCAGCCTGTGGGCTCCTGGGCTTGCCTGGTGCTGTTCTCATTTGCCCACTGCTGCCAACCTCGGGCCAAGTTGATAACCAGAGTGGCTGTGCGCATCTTCCGGAGGGCACTCTTGGCCGGCCCCTCCTCTCTTGCCTTTTCTCCCGGAGCCATGCTACCTTTGTCTTCTCTGCTGACAGCCTGGGCACTGGCTAAAACCAGTGTGGACCAGTGGAGTGCCTGGGATTTAAATAGAAGCAGGGTGTGGGGTGGGAAGAGAGTTTGGTGACGGTGGAAACTATGTCAAGCATCTCTTGCCAAGATGTTGTGCCTTCCCCCTGACAGTGTTCTTTTTTTAAACCCCGATGGCTCCAGTTTCATCACAGCAGAGGGACATCTCTGCTGATAAATGACAGTGATATGCTCAGCCTTTTTCTTCTGCAAGTGCCAGAGTGGAAATTACTAGATCTGGTCATGTGCTCAGCCTTGTGTTTTTCTTGACCTTAAAATATGGTCCTACCATTTATAGGAGCATAAAATATGTGCACAAATTGTGCTAGGAACATTATAGGCTCGTTCTTATTTAAACCTCAACAGACCTCAATATAGCTCTTGATTAGTCCTGTTTTATAGCTGAGTTCATTGAAATCTAACTTCCTATAGTTAATAACATCTGAGGTTCAAATCCAGATCTGTCTCAAGGCTTGTGCCTATTGTCATTCTAGTTATCAAAGATTATAAGTTGCCTTTTTCTTTTGTCTTCAACTCTATTCAGCGTAGAGCTTAGAAGGCACGTCATTCAACCTTCGTTTTCCCCATGAGAAAATCAAGGACCAGATAAGAGGGGAGACAAAAGCTAGGTTTTCTAGTCCCAGGTTTGAATTATTGTATAGACAAGTCATGTTAATATACAAGACAGTCAAAATTTTCGTCCAATATTTTTAAAAATCTTTAAATTAAGACCTACACACACATTGAATTTCATAGATTATTGCAATCAATCTTTTCAAATATTTTGTCAAAAAAGACCATTTAAAGACAAAATATGTGAATTCTGTGAGCAGCAACTCCCTCCCGATATTTTCTTTTTAATTATACAACCTTCCCGAGCAGGCTTTTAGGTTCATACAGAAAAACTACTCTTGCAATTCTCAGAACAAAGACTAAAATATAATTTTTAAAAAAGGACAGAAATGATAGGTCATTTGGACAGAAAAAGAACCATCTATGAAGTGTACTAAACCAGATAAAAATGCTCAGGGGTCAGCACTGATTAATTTCTTAAAGTAAGACAAGTAGAATTTTTTTTTCAGACAACAGTTCTGTAGACTTCAAAACTGCATCCTTTACTGTATCCTTTCCTCCCATCTTGACATGCAGTTAACCACACTGATTGAAAACTACTAAGAGCATAAAAAAGGTGTCAGAGTTAATTACTTCTGATGGTGAGACAAATTTATTTTGAAAAAGAAATATGCTGATGTCAGTTTTTCATCATGCATGTAATTTACTTCCTAGGATTAAAACAATTTTGGAGATGATTTAATATTCTATCTAGAAATCTGTCAGATGTGTTTTCAGAGCTCAACAGCATCTGATAATGTTAACTGACGTCCAATAAGGCAGAGATAAAACTCTCTCTTGATTAACTAAGAGGAAATAGGATCACAAGGAAAGAAAACTATTACAAACGAAGATTTAAATCTGAGTTTGAAACTTCTGGCATTCCTTCTTGGCATGTATATAGACTGCAGACAGTTTGGTTCCTGTCAGATTGCCCTTGTTCCCCTTGGAATACCTTGGGAAGAAATGGGGCTCCTCAGAGATGCCCATAGGCTTAGCCAGGGATCAGGCTAATTTACAACTTTCAAAGGGATTTTTCTGCTTCCTTGCCCACACCTGCTCCACATTCACTTCTGATAGAGAGAGAAGGAATGGAGACAGCAAATGTTATTAGTTTTCACATATTAAGAGGCATTGCAGCCAGCTGCCTGGGGCTTGGGGCTGTCAGCAGATAGTCTTGGCAGAAAACAGAGGCAGCTAGGCAGCTCCTCAAAGAACCTGGTCATTCTTTCTGAGATGTCGCTTCCATGGCAACTGTGGTCCTTCATTCATACTTCTCCAGCAGAGAACATGAAATCCTTTTCCTCCTTGTGTCCTCTTTGGGCAATCCTTCCCTAAAGCAAGGTCTGTATGCCACCTGCCGTGCATCTTTTGATCACTGTAGAAATGTCGTATCTTCTTTTTCAGCCTAGATCTCGATTCTTAGGAGTTCAGTATTCTGCTTTAATAGAATGTGTAAAATAAATGAAAATAAAACCTCAAAGACAAAGATGTAGTGACATAAGTAGAAGTTTACAAGGTGAGTTTCCTATGAAACCACGAGATTAGAAACTGTAGGTGAAGACGCAGACCTGTTTAATGAAGTAATTACCATCTAAGAAATTTGTTATAAATGTGAAAGTATTTTGAAAAAATATTCATTATTATTTGACCATGTGGACAGTACTGAGGAGGTGAGGGAGCTGTGTTTATACACTTCTCTGCATGATACATTTGGAACTCATAACCAGCTACAGAATCTTACTAGGGAGACTTTAGAAACCTACATTTGTTCAAAGCTCATAAGAAACAATAATTTCCTTATTCCTTTCTACATAAACTAATAAGTCCTTGTTTAGTTTCAGAAAAGTGGCCATGAAAAGACTAATGGAGAGAAAAAGAGCTTCTGAATTAAATTTACTTTAGTCAAGCTTGTGGAATATATACGGTGGGTGAGGCATGATGGTAGACAACATGGGAGAGGCTGTAAAGCTCAACAAAACCGAACCTACTTTCAAGGTTTTCCCCATCTAGCTGGGAGAAGACATGCATACAACAGCCTTTAATCGTTTGGGGAGAGGTACATTAGAAATATAAAGCTTTATGGGCTCGTTGAGCAAAGGGTGACTGATTTTATCAGAAAGACTTCCCAGAAATGGTAATCCTTTATGTGATCCTTAAAAGATAAGGACAACAGTATCAGGTAGAGAAAGGGCACTCTATTCTGAAGAAACAATATGAATGAAGTTACAAAGGCATGAAGATTCATGGGACACGTAGAGACCTTCTAATGGCCCAGAGTAGAGATCACGAACTCAAATGCCCACAGAGTCATGCAGGTCACTTAAGTGCATGAGATGAGTTGAGCTGGGGACACAACGTCGAGTCGTGAGGACTGTGGGCAACTGGTGAAGTAATATTTCAAGAGTAGTAGGAGATCTGGATTTTGATGTGAACTCTACCAATTCTTTAAATGGTAATAGCAAATACGTACACACACACGCACACACTCACACACAATAGAACAACACAGGGTAGCACGTCTTTGGGCCAGATTCTGCTTGTGGGCCCCAGTTTATGGCCTTTGGAGAAGAGCATACAGTGTCTATGGGGTAAGGACAAGGCACCAGGGAGCAGTGGGCCAGGCCTTTGAAGAAGGAATACTTTGCTGAAGAATCAGTATTTTACTATATGGGAATCACTGCAACACTGAAGGATTTTAAGCCTTGATGTGCTATCAAATGTGCATTACTAAATGATCAAATCTAGAGCCAGAGAAGTGGGGTTTGGATTTGAATAGGATAAGAGTAGGATGGGGGACTGTTTACAGGGGTTACTAAAATAATCTTGGAAAGAACAAAGTGAGTGTCTGAAAGAAGAGAGAACGATTTGGGTAACATCAAAAGGACCTAGGGACCAATCAGTTGCCATGGGTGATGGGTGTCACGGATAATGGAGAGGTTTTGATTCAGCTGATAGGTGTGAGCAGGTGACATTAGCTGGTAGAGGACAGAAGAAGGAGGGTATTTGTGGTGAGAAGGAAAAGTTTCCATCTTGAGCTGAGGAAGCTGTTGGGCATGCATGTGGGTACTGAGAGGAACCAGGAGTATAGACCCAGCAGTCAGGCAGAACTGAGTGAAAACATAGGCTCTGCTGGTTAGCAAGGCGACCCAGGGCGAATTACTTAATTTCTGTAAGATGCAGTTCTCCTTTTGCGAGTGAGTATTGTCAGGGCATCTATCTCATAGGGCCAGTGTAAGGATTAAATGAGTTAACACATGTGAAGTACTTAGCACCAGGCCTGGAACACGTAAGCTCTTGATAAGTGGCTATTGTTATTAATATCTTGATGTTGAATCATGGAGTTAGAGAATTAAAGATCCTTAAATTCTGTTTGACCAAGGACAGGATGGATTCCAGAACTGGGGCAGCATGAGTCTTCAGGTGGGAGGGTCAAAGGAGGTCACTTGTAAGGACTTCAGCTGCAAGGGAAAACTTATTTATAGTGTTTTATTTTAAGATAATTTATAGCAAGGCTTTTAAGACAGTGTCTAAAGGGTTTTCTTCAGCTCAGTGAAGGTCAGATGAGGTCTCAGTTACTTGGGAGTGATAACCAAAGAGATGAGCACAGACTCTTTCCTGGAACATCCTGGAACATAGAACTCTGGTTTGCAATCACTGAGGATCACATTAGGATCTTAAATCACGTTAGGCTCACTGCAGAGTTTTAAAAACTACAGATGGTGAAGTGCTGTCTCTGGAGACAGGCCTTAGTAGGGTGCTGGCACCAGCTTAACCTAACATACCATCAGGGTTGGGAACCATGGTTCTAGCTTCTAGAGTGCTGTGGGTCCAGCAGACACTCAATGTGCAGATTTTAAGAGTCTAGTGACCAGTAGCCCAGGTTTAGGTTCAGGCAGATGGTTTTGTCTTCTGGATCTCCTTTCAAAATCTGTGTACCCTAGGAGGAGTTTCTTAACTTCTCTGCGCTTCAATTGCCTTGCCTGAAAATGGCAGTAATACTACTTTCCCCTGTGTTGTTGTTGTGTTTATATGAGATGATGTCTGTGGAGCAACTGGATATGAGGACCACACGGAGGCTATTCGTATTGTTGTTATTTATTCTGTTATTGAGGATAATGATGCCACCTTCTAAATAAATGACCTAGATTCATAAACATATCAGACTTCAGTATGAACAATGCAGTATAAACTTTTACATTATAAACAATAACAATTTGTATACCTTGCTAGAGGCTAAGAAAATTTCAGAGACCAAATGTCACAAAATCCCATTATCTATTAAACTGTAGTCACCACATTAACTTAATTCAGGAAACAAACAGATAAATGCTTATTATATCTAATTAAATCTGAACAATGGTGTCTTAGAAAATGGCCTTGTAACTACGACTCAT